AAGAACATTCAGCCATCCAATCTTGACAGAAGGGCCAAAAACCTCCCTAGAGGAAAGATAGCCTCTTTAACAAAGAAAAAACTGGCTGTATATATGCAGAAGATTTAATCTAGACCGATGTCTGTCACCATGTACTAAACTAAAATCAAAATGGGCCAAAGATCTAAATATTAAAACAGAAACACTGAATCTACTGAAAGATAAAATAGGTAAAACTCTTGAAGACATAGGAGTAGGCAAGTACTTTCTGAACAGTACCCCAATAGCCCAAGAAATAACATCAAGAATCAACAAAGAGGATTATATTAAAACAAAAAGCTTCTGCACAACAAAGGAAACAACCGACAAAGTGAAGAGACAGCCTATAGAATAAGAAAAAAATTTTTGCCACCTACTCTTCCAAAGGAGGGCTAATATCTAGAATATATGAAGAATTAAAATCATAACCCCCCCAAATAAAAGACCCAATCAAAAAAATGGGTAAATGAAATGAATAGACATTTCTCAGAAGAAGCAGCACAAATGGCCAATAAATACATGAAAAATTGGTCAACATTTCCAGCCATTAGAGAAATGCAAATTAAAACAACACTGAGATTCCATTTTATTCCAGAAAGAATGGCGTCATCAAGAAATCAAATAATAACAAATTCTGGTTAGGCTGTTGGGGGGTGGGGAAGGCACCCTTCTACACCGTTGGTGGGAATGTAAACTAGTACAGAAAACCACTGTGGAAATTAGTGAGGAGATTACTCAAAAACTAAAAATAGTAATTCCATTCTTCAGCTATTCCCCTTCTAAGAATCTTCCCGAGAGAGTTAAAATCATCATATTACAGTGATAAATTCTTTACCATATTTATATTGGCTCAACTCGAAAGCTAAATCTTAGAAGCAGCCTATGTGTCCATCAACAAATGAATGGATGCAGAAAATGTGGCACTTATACCCAACTGTGACACATTTATATTCCACTAATAAAATGCATACATGTAGTAATACAAAATTTAGAAGTTTAGAAAAAGTGTTAGGTATAATTTCTTCAAATCTTTTGTCTGTCCCACCCTACTTGCTCTTTTTGTAGGACTCCAGTTACTCACCTGTGATGCTATTTAACATTGTCTCACAGGTCAGTGAGGCCTTATTTATTTTTTTGTCTTTCCTTTCAGTTTCAGATTGGATGTGAAAATCTCTACTGGCCTGACCCAAGTTCTCTGATTCTCTCTTTTGAAGCATCCAATCAACCATTAATCCTATCCAGTGATTTTTATTTATCAGATACTGCATTTTTCAGTTCTAAATTTTCTATTTGTTTACTTTTAGAATTTCCATATCTCCTTGGATTCATTACCTCTTCACCCATTAGATATATTTTTTCCTTTGGATCCTTCAACATATTATTTTTGTTAATTAAAAATCTTTTTTTTTTTTTTTTTTTTTTTTCTGGGACAGGGTCTTGCTATGTTGCCCAGGTTGGTCCTGAACTCCTAGACTCAGGTGATATTCTTGTCTTAGCCTCCTAAGTGGCTGGAGCTACAGGCATGTTCTACTGCATTTGGCATCTATTTTCAAATTCTTTGATGCTAATTCTAACATTGGGGCCACTTCTGTCTGTTTATAACTGCTTTTAACTTTTAAAAATTTGTTGGTGAATGATCTTACTTCTATATATAATTAGCAATTTTTGTGTATTGAATATGGAAAATGATATGTTGTGAAATCTCGGGATTCTATCATCTTTCTTGGAAAAGAAAGTTTGGTTTGTTTTTGTTTTATTCTTAATATGGCTTGAACTGCAAACTCTGCCTCCTATGAAAAATAAAAATGCTGAAATCTCTGCTAATGTCTTTTATGCTACCTTCTGCTGCCTTCTGCTGGGGTTCTTGGAGTGTTGCCTTGTGCCTGAACAGTTAAGGAGCCAGTCAAGGATTTGAGAAGGAATTTTTTCTTGTAAATTTTTTGTTAAGTTTTGGGATCAAGTTTATTTTGGTCTCATTAAAAGTTTGGGGAGGTGTTCCTTTCTTTTTTCAATCCCTGAAGATCTTTTATTATATTGTCATTATTTCTTCTGTAAATGTGGATAGAATTTATTTGGGCCTAGATTTTCCTCCTGGAAGGTTTTCAAATTATTGATCAGTTCATTTAATAATTATAAAATTATTCAAAATTTCTATTCATTAGTCAGTTTTATTCTTTGTTACTTTAAATTTCAAATTATTGGCATAATGGTATTAGTTAGCATTCTACTATTATAATAAATGTGTGAAACAATCAATTTATAAAGGGAAAAGTTCACTTTGGCTTACAGTTTTTGAGATTTCAGTCTATGATCAGTTGTTGGGACCTGTGATGAAACATGAAGGTGGAAGAGTTTGGTAGAGAAAAACCACCCACCTCATGGTTGGAAAGCAAAGACAGGAGTCCCACAATACACTTCAGAGACACGCCTTCAGTGACCTAAGGACTTCTTTCTAGGTTCAACCTCTTAAAGTTTCTACCACCTCTCAATAGTGCTGAGCTGTGGACCAAGCTTTTGACAAATGGGCCCTTGAGTGGGGGGGCATTGTAGATCCAAAGTATAGCAGATAAGGATAATACCCTCTTGTGATTTTGTATTATATGTAAAAATGTAAGAATTCCCTTTTTTATTTTTGTTAATTCTGCATTCTTTCTCTCTTTCTTGTTTTGCCAGAGTTTTATAAATCTTTCTTTTCAAAGAACCAAATTTTGGCTTAAATTACTGAATTTTCAGCCACTTTTCTTTTCTCCTATGTGCTTTAAAGCTATATATTTCTCTGTAAGAATGGACCAGCTTCAGATCTTATGTGAAAGAGAAATAAAATTTAATTTTATTTATCATCAAATTTCTTTTTCTCTGTTAAACACGGCAAACTTATATCCTTAAACAGTGTAAGGACTGGGTCTCACCTGTGGGTAAAAGAATGGAGACAAAGCAGTATGTAAACTTGAAAACCCAAACTAGAGACTGACACTCAGTGCCAAAAGGAACCATGAGAAAACAACCCACTTTCCACTCTCATTTCCCTCCCAGAGTATTCACCACATTTAACTTTCCAAAGGAGAGTTTAGAGGCATTCATATTAGGACTTTAGTGGTCAAAAGACTGCATAGCATTTGGATACATTTTTCTTAGCTTTGCTAAGATAAATGCAGGGTATTTAGTCTCCATCTTAATGGTTTTATCCAGAATGCACACATGAAGTGCTCTGGACCTGAGGCAGAATGGTTATAATTACTTATTACTTATATTCTAATAATTGTGTGATTGCCCCCACCCTCAGTGATCATCCCTGAGTGACAAATTATCATAAATCCCATAGGCGAGAAAAGGAGAAAAGGAGGAGAGAAACCTTTTTTTCCCCTAGATATGGAATAGAAAGGATCCTGGATTTTTCTCTAAACTTTTGGAGTGGACATACATTTTTCCAAAGGCCATGTGACTTCTGGTATCTCTTTGATGACCTGCAGATATTTCTCCTGAATCCTGGGTCTCATTTTCCCTTGAAATGTAAACACATACCATGCAAGTCTTGGAATCCTCTCTTGGGAATTCTTGAACTATCTGCAGAGTTGTAAATTAACTTCTTATGGTTTTCTTTTAGCCTAGGGTCCAAAGTTTTGGTTGATTTTGTTTTTTGTAGTACTAGAGCTCAAACCTGAGGAGTGTTGAGCTACAACTCAACTGTTTTAAATTTTATTTTGAGACAGGGTTTCACTAAGTTGCCCAGGCTGGCCTCAAACTTAATATCCTTCTGCCTCAGCCTCCATTAATCTGCTAACCTAGCTGGCTGCTAAGTGACTAATAGGCAAGTGTTGCATACATGTGGATTCACTGGTCAATGGGATGATTTGTGTCTTCGGCAGGACAGATGGGATGGAGCCAGATTTCATCATGGTGCTCAGAAAGGTGTGCAATTTAAAACTTGGGAATTATTTCTGAAAATTTCTACTCAATATTTTTGGACAGTGACTGCCTGCAGATAACTGAAACTACAGAAAGTGAAACCATTGCTGGAGGTGAGCACTGTAACCCTTGATTGCTATAAATGTTACCTCTTCTGCTTGTTGTAGTTTATATGTATTCTTTTTGGCTTCCAGCTATTCCTTTTATAGACAATTAATTAGCAGATATGTCTGTAGAAGTAACAGCTTTTTAATTTGCTGTGATCTTGAATATTAGGTAACTTTGACTTTTATGACCACATGTGAGATAGGACAGCCACTGAAGAGTGACATTGCGGTTCTACATGTGGAGTTAGGACATATGTGTATCAGTCAGGAAAGGCCATTCTAGAGTACTAGACCATTCATAAACTTCAGGGCTAATAAATAGCAGAGAGATGATGCCTTAAAGGAAGGCTTTGCCCATGCATGTTATCACTGAAAGGATCAAGATTCTTGTCTTTTTCACTCTTTGGAGCAACAAGGAAAGAAAATTTGGCCCCTCATCTTCAAATCTTAAAGCTTTTGACTGGCAGCAATACTTGCTACTTCCATTCGTATTTCACTGAACATGCCAAGCCCCATGGCCATGCCTAACAATTGAAGGCACTGGGAAGTGCAGTCTGCATGGGTCACAGGAATGTAGGAAGTCTCAGGGAGCAGCACTCACTACTATTGGAGTCGGATTCACATTGCAATCCACAAATTCAGAGCAGGGAGCATTAAAGGTTTTGCAGCAGTGGTGTTGGGAATCACTTTTTTACTCTGTGGTTGTGACAAAGATATCGTGGCTGTAGACTAGGAAACACAATTAAGAAATTGGTACTTAGGAAATTAGAGCAATACTCAAATCACTGAGGTCTTTCTTGTGTCATAGCAGTAAAAAAAAAAAAGAATTAGGTCTGGAGAGCGCCAGGGCTGGATGTGCGCCTGCGCGAGTTGGTCGCGCTAACCCAACTCGCAGGGCTCGGCAGCAAGGGCTGCGGGGAGGCGATGAGGTTTTTATTGTGAGTATCAGTGCCAATCAAGGTACACTGAAATACGGATAATACAACAGAGTCCAGTCCTTGCAGCATATTATACAACATGTGACTTTTGACAGCATGGTTAGCCCATAGTTGCTGTAGGTGGTACAATAGAGGCTAGACTGACTGAAGAAGTAAAACCAATGTTTATAGTTCACATTGGAAGTAGAACCTGAAGACAAAGACTTTCTTATATTAAGCAGTTTTGATGGCAGAAAAAAGACAGCCTTTTATAGTGTTGGGGAAGCAATGGAGCAACTCACAGGACCTGATAGACAAAAATGGACCAATATGGATCCAGAAGAGAGAATGTTAGCAGCTGCCACAGCTTTTGTTCGTATCTGTGCAGGGCAGGGTGAGGGAGACCTAAGCAGAGAAACCCAATCCATCCAGTATGATCCCTACAGTAAAGCTTCAGTAGCCCCAGGGCAGCAGCCTGCTTTTCCTGTGGAACTGCAGTACCCACATGTAGAAAGTCCTGTCACTTCGAAAACAGTCTCAGAGGTCTCTCAAAGGCTCCGAAAGCCAGTGATAAAGAGAAAGGTGCTTTGTAGAAAGCCAGGTGGGAAAGTATTAGTGACAGATGAGTCAATTATCAGTGAATCAGAATGTGACACAGAAAGTGATGCAGATCTCTGGGACTTAAAACAAAGGCTGATGAATCTGCAGTTCCGGGAAGATAGGGAGTCCCCAGCGGATATTTCACAAAAATTTAGTCAGCCACATGAATACCAAGGAATTTCACAAGATCAGTTCATTGGCTGTCTACAAAGAGAGCGAATGGGCCCTCCCGCTTATGAACAAGACCTGATTGTTGCCAGCAGACCCAAGTCCTTTATTCCCCCAAGGCTGGAGCAGTTAAGCCAAAATCGAGGCAAGATAGACCAGGTGGCTCGATATTTTGAGTACACAAAGGACTGGGACTCCATGGGGCTGCCTGGTGAAGATCATAGGAAGGAGGTACGGTGGGGTATCCGAGAAGGGTTTCTTTCCCGAGCAGAGCCCCAGTCCAAGCCTCAACACATGTATGTTCCAAACAATTACATAGTGCCAACTGAGAAAAAAAGATATGCCATTCATTGGGGTGTTCACTGTGACCTTGCAAATGGTGACATGCCCAGGAAGCTTCCCTTCCCTCTTTCTCCTTCTTAAGATTTTTTTAACCTGTCTCTCCTCCTACAGAATTGTTTAAGATATCCTGTTTCTTTATCTGGTTCCTTTTAAACAGAAACACCCACCATTAGTGGTCCCCTGCTGTGTATCATACAGCTATCAGACACTACTTAACTTCCAAATTACTACTCTCAAATACAAAAATTACAAGAAAAATCATGCCAGAGAGATAAAAACCTATATGGTCTTTGTATTTTGTCAAATTAGTAAACACCATTTGTGTTTGAAAGCCTTTTTACCTTGGGTCAATGTAAGCTACTGTGTTTTAGTGTGTTTTAAAATTGGTGGGCATTAAGCTTATCTATTAAAGAATTTTGGAAACTCAAAATTAGAATTATTCTGAGCAGTTTCAAAATTATGCAGCCATCTCATCAATCTTGCATATGGACTCTGCCCTTTCTGTTTTGGTTGTTCAGGGGTATTTTCTCTGTCTTTCTTATTTCCCATTTCTCTGTTGTGCAATGTGTTACTATCTTTGTCTTTGTTAATGAAGTGTTTAGACACAGAAAAATGACCAGACGGAACAGGATAAAAATAAAGGAGGAGTAACAGGCACCAAACTGCAGCAGTACATCTCTGTTCTACTACTGAGTAGTGCACAGGGAATTAAAAAGCTCTGGTGAAGCTTGCCAGGCAGAGGGCAACAAAGTACTGGACTCCAACTTCCCATGATGGCAAAGGACAGGATGGCCCAGGGGGGTCAATGTCAGAAGACGGGTAAGACCAGGCACAAGCCTGAGACTGAATCTCTGTCTAGATGGCCACTGCTTAGTCTCTTAGCCAGCCTCTGCCATCTGCCCGGTCCCCACTGTCCTACACAGACCCTCCGCTGGTGTGCCTGATTAGACCACAGTTGTGCTGAGAAACTGCTCCCCTTGGCTCTTGGTAAGTGATTCAAGGTCTCAGGAGGTCAGAAGTCTGGAACCTTTATCAGTGAGCTCTGTTCCTGCCATCATTTCTTGTATAGAGCTTGTTGAAAAATAGATTGGGCAACCCTGACCTATAACATTGCTTTTGAAGTTTCTCAACCTCAAATGAAGAACCATGGCACTTCATATGGTAATTCTGGACTCCTGCATTCAGCTGTCCCCTTCAGACATTCAGTTTGTGTTTCAGCAAGCCCCCTTCAGTCCCTGCGTTAGTTAGTGGCCATAATAAAGAACTGGGAGCTTAAACCACATTTATTTTCTCAGTTCTGGAGGCTGGAAGTGCAAGAACCAGGGTGCAACAGGGTTGGATTCTGGTGAGGTCTTCTTCTTGGCTTGCTGATGGCTGCCTTCCTGCTACGTATTCACATGGTAGAAAGAAGAGAGGCAGGTGGGTGTGGGAGAAGAGTTCTTCTTATAAGGACAGTAATATGATAATTTCATATTCTACTCACCTCCCAATGCCTCCACTTCCTAATATTTGCATTAAGGTTTCATATTTTGAATTTATGGATTTGGGGGAAAATAGTCCATAGTAGTCCACAAATCATACTGCATCTTTGCCATTTTTCATGACAGGATCAACAGATTTTCTCTGCTGAAGATTATCAGGGTCCCAGAAAATGCTCAGCATCTCAAATTGCACAGTCCTTCACTGGGATACCTCTGTCACAGTTAATTTCTCATTGCTGGGACAAAATATCTGACACCCACAAGTTAAAGGAGGAAAGATTTATTTAACTTAGTTTGTAGAGGTTTCAGTCCATAGAGAGCTGGCTCCAGGCAACGTGGCATGGCAGAGGGGTATGGCAGAGAAGAAACAGTCCATGGCAGGGTAGGTAGAAGGCAACAAGCAGAAAGCCTTCTAGACTTTTATTCTATCCAAGCTAGAAGTCTATTGCATGGGGCCACCAGTACCCAGGGTGGGCCTTCCCATCATCCACACCCAAAACTATCCTAAACCAATTAGTGGACTAATCCAATATCACACACCTTTAGTCCCAGTACCACACGTCCTAGAAGCAGTCATCTCTGAAAGCCCCACCTATGAGTGCTTGAGGGCTTGGGGGGGACATCTAGATACAAACCCTACCTCTCCCCCACATTGAATGCACAGTCTCTGTGGTCTCTATTTTACCATGCTAGGCTGTCCAAGGGAGAGGATAAAATTTCTTCCTCTTTAACTCCAGAATTCATATTCCCATCCTTTATCAGTCAGACAAAACATTTTAAAAAGTAGTTTTCAATGAGCAATTCCTTGGGGTTTTAACCCTCAACTGCAGACCTGTTGTTGTTGTTGTTATTATTATTATTCACACTGGGTCTTGGTATGTTGCTCAGGCTTGCTTCACACTTCAAGGCTCAAGTGACCTTCATCCTCTCAAGTTGCTGTACCATGTCACCCACTCAGTTTGGTCATCTCTTAACAAATTCTCTGAGAATTCTGGTGAATACAAATATAGTCAGCTAAATATTAATGGATACATGCATTTTTGATTATGTAAATATATTTTAAGATTATTTTCTCATTGTTCTGAGGTTAATGAAATGTTTCTAGATCTATGAAAGGAACGCCTACAAAAAAACAAAACAAGCAAGCATGTGCAATGTAACAAGTGTCCACTAGAAGGAGCACAAGCCCATAGATTTCAACTGTAAGTTGCGACTCCAGCCCCCAGTCCAAGTTCCTTCTAAACTTTTATTAGACATGAAACCTCCA